GGCGGCCGGCCGGCGGCGGCGGCCCGGGCTGGGGCGGGGCGTGCCCGCGTCGGCTCCTCCCCCGGGCGCCGCGCCGCGGGGGGAGTCCGCTGCGGGAGGGGCGAGCGGACGAGCGCGTCCGCCCTCCGCCTCCTTCTCCGTCCGCACTGGGCTGGCGGCGACGGCCTGAGCGGTTCCCCCTCGAGCCGGTGCTGGCAGAGCGGCTTGGCGAGGAGGAGGAGCTGCGGGGCTGGGCGGAGACACCGGCGGGCTCCGCGCACCGCATCCCAGCCAATCAGCGTCCGGAGCCGGCGTGACGCAAGCTTCTCGTCCGGCCCCCTCCCCCGCCGGGAGCCTGCCCCCTCCGCGAGGCCACGCCCACCTCCCGCAGCCTGCGGGGCACTGGCGGCTCCCGCGCGGTCCTAATGCTTGGTAGGTTCCGGTGAGCCGAGGACGTGGGCTTGGGCCCTTGGGACCACGGCGAGGTGAGCTCGACCGGGAGCGGCGAGAAGCGTGCGAGGTTCACGTGGGACAAGAGAAACCGACTTGGCTTTTCTTGAGAGATCTGGCCCTGTCCTAGCTGCTGACCATCTCGCGCCAGCCGCCTCCCGGAGCAAGGCGAGCCGGTTCCAAGCCCCGCCGCCTGGAGGAGTTGGTGAAAGTCCAGCCCCGGGAAATTACCACGTTCTAAAACTTCACCGGGACCATTGGTGTGGACACTGGGACGCAGATCCCGGAGTTAAGTCCAGAGGCGGAGTGGTCTGGGGCGGCGAGCGCAACGCTCGGGCTGGCTGCAAGGATTGGCAGCCAGGTCTGCTATCAGGTCGTGGGGACCCTGTTGCTAGGGGTGCTATGGCCTAAGGCTTGTTTCTGGCTTGCAAGGTTCAGTTTTAAGGACACCCTACTGGGCCAAATCTATGTTGTTGTTTTTTTTAAGAATCATTTATTGGCTTCGTTTTAGTTCCTGTCCGCGAACATTTGGAATCCTTGTGCTGGTGTGAATTTTCTGTAACTCATTTTAAAGAAGTTAATGAGATACTGTCTTGACAAGGTTTGAAGGTTTGGAAACCCCAAAATGACTCTCTTACAGTGATATATATAGCCAGACCCATAAAAAAAAATATCAAGGGGTGGTGATTCCTCTCAGAGCTTTCAGGGCCATCTTTCCATGCTCTGTCTCTCTGGTGCTGGAACTTGAGCGCCTGTCAAAGTTCCCGACGTGCTGTTTGTCTGTTTGTCCGTCCACGGCTGTAAATAAATCTTGTGCCCTGGGGGTAAAGGGAATCAGGATTTTTGTTTCTTAAGGGTTAGTAAAAGTAGGGTTTTTAATAAACCCTTACTGTTTTAAATTAAGAACTCTTACTACACAACGTTAGCAGGAGTGTGAGAAAATCAAAGCCCACACTATCCCTGTCTCAGAGTGTTGGGACATCTGCAGAGTGTGTAGAATCAATCGTCTTTATCTCACAACTCCAAAGCTTTATCATTTGGGATAACGCTGAGTTGGACCCTGAATCAGCTTCAGTGATGAAACTGGGAGATGGAGAATTCAGGCTGACAAAAATAAGTGAAAGCTATCCTGTCATGTAGCTTTCTGGTCTTTATGCTTCTTGGGTATAACTGAAATGGTATTAAATGAGTTTGTTGTCAGCCTTGAGTGTACTGTTCCTGCCCAGTCTTGTAGTCACATGTCTGGAGCTTAGGATGGAGCTCTTTAAGTGAGAATAGTGTGAGAACCACCCTCACTGCCCCCCCCACACACACACACATACCCTATACTCAGATGCCTTGTGTAATGAGCAAATACTCCACCTCCAAACTGGTTCATAACACGTGGCCCAGGCTCTGCAGTTTCACATCTCGACATTTTCTTTGGCATCAAACAGCTACATCGTTATGGGCTCCCGACACCCAATCCGAGTTTTCATCAGAATTAGATTTGCAGTTTGTACTGATGATTTTTCTCTTTTCTAGCTTTGGTCAGCATTAGAAAACACAGATGATAATAACAATTGTGAGTAACATACACTATACTTTAACTCAAGTTACCCTCCACCGGGTTGAGCATTTTATCCCCACAGTGTGCCATTTCAGGGCCCTCTCACCATCCATGTTTTTCCACCCTGTGATATGTGAGAGAACACAGTGAGCCGAGAGTAAGGATGGCTGCAGTGCTTGTAAGGGAGGGCCCAGGGCAAAATGGGAGTGTGTTTAATTGGGGAAAACCACCCTGAGGAGTCTACTGGCTCTTTAGAAATGTGATCTCCCACCTGGCTGCCAAAACCTGCTCTAAATTATCAGAAATTTTCTGTTCATGTGTAATCACATCAGATGGGCTATATTAATGGTGAGTGTGGGGTTTGTATCCAGATATTTCATATTGGGATTGTGATGGCTAAACTTGGTTGTCAGAGGCATGCTTCTGAGCCAATGGTGAGGATGGACTGACTGAAGGGGAAGACCCTCAGTCTATGGTGGCGAGCCCCCAACCCCCAAGGCCAGCATCTGCCAACAAGGGCCCAATTAAAGTGGTCTAGTGGAAAGCTGCTCTCCTTGCCTGCCTGCCTTACCACCCTCTCTGGCGTGAACATCTCCTCTGCTCCTACCACTGCCTGCTTCCCTGGCATCCTAGCCCAGTTTAACCCTTCTAACGAGAACTGAAGACCAGTAGCTGGGAATGCTGAGGCAGGTAGGGTCTCAGCCTCAACAGCATGTAGACAGCCATTGTTGAACCTATCCCATACTATAGAAGCCTATCTAATAACTCTTCTTGTAACTTATTCTATTGGTTCTCTTTCTCTGGAGAACAGAAGAGGTAGCCCATGAAAACCCGTTTTCAGGGCTCAAGGTACTAGAGTGTCTTGACCTTAGCTGATCTTGGTACACATTTAGTGCGACATGAGTGATGTTGTTATTTCTATCTAACATCCAAGTATGTATTTCTCTGCAACAAGAAAACTGGTTTCAAGGGAAAGTTGTACTTTGGATTTGGATGCTAGCAATGATGGAAGGGACTTTTAAATCCTACCTTTTGCAACTGGGTTAAAGCAAGTACTTTTACCCAAACCCCAAAGAGTTAAGTGGTTCAGAATAGACTGATATACTTAACATTATCCCCTCTATTTAAAAAAAAAAAAAAAAAATGTATTTAGAGTCTCCAGAGGTAGTTTAGCAGGTAACAATGTGCACTGCTCTTGCAGAGGACCTGAGTTGACTTCAGTTCCCACCACCCACACTAGGAGGCTGACAACTGCCTGTGACTGGAGCTACAGGGGATCTGATGCCTCTGTCCTTCATGGGCAGCGCACACGCGTGCACAGACATACACATACCCATAATTTAAAAGACTCTATGTTCAAGTCCTCTAAGTAGCCAAGATGTTACCCGAAACAGCCAGTCTAATCCATCTCTAAAGTTTGTTCATGACTCATGGATACTGACCTATTGACTCTCTAACATGTTGTTTCTTCCACTGAATACCTTTTTTTTCTTTTTCTTTTTTTTTTTTTCTTTTTGCGACTAGTTCTCACTATGTAGGCTAGGCTGACCTTGAATTCACAAGTAGTAGGGCTATAAGTGTGACCCAAAAAGCACACATGACTGGGATATAAATGTCAATTAACTGGCCTGGCCTTTTTCAACTTCATGTCTCACCAGCTGCTAGCACGTTCGTCCCATTTAGCCCATGGTAGATGTCCATGAACAATTGTGAAATAAACGAATGAATAAACAGCAGACTAGAAGTAAAGTCCACTTGCTTTAGTTCTGTGTCCACTCTTAATCAATCTCTGGATTCAAAAAAGTAGAGTCAGCTTCTTCGGAAATATAAGGATCCCCAGAAAAGACATCAAGCACTGTCACAAAGGAGGAAGGGAAGCCTGGATGCCAAGGAAGCAGATTCATTTGTCAACATCATTGTACTTTAGTCTGCCCTTCATTATTTAAATTGTCACGAGTATATCTCAAAGATTATTTTCTGTTCAGTTAGGTCACTTATAGCATTACATGTGAATGTTATTTTTTAAAATATATTGAAAAGTTGATAACTTTTCAAATAGAAGACTGGTAACGACCTTCCAAGTGTGTCACGAGGCATGGTCTAGGACTCAGAATATAAAACATGAGAGCTGAGAAAGAGAAGGTGTGGCATTCAGTGTTGGCATGTGAGGTATAGCAGTTGGCAGAGGACAGAGATAGTGTGGCAGTTTGGAGCAGACAGAGAGAAATGCTTCAGGACGCAGTGGCATGGAGGACACTGCTGGCTGCTTCTGCAGTTGATGGAGATTGGTTCAGAGCCCTAAAAGATGCCCTTGACCCTAACTAGCTGGGAGAAGTAAAGGCATCTGGGGCATCTCTTCCCACTAACTTTTTTTTTCCCACAAAAAGGTGTGGGAGGTTGGATGGGACGTTGAGGCTCAAACACTGCAAATAAAGTAGAGTTGTTTTGTTTTGTTTGTTTGTTTTTTAAAGAGCACTAACTACAATAATATTAATGGTTTTAAAATATATATAATCCATAGGAGTAAAAGAGGAATGGGTGGGTTCTGGGAAAGCTCTCCTGGAAAAGGCAGAAAATATTGAAGGTGCCATTTTGTAGCTGTCTATTCTAACCATCAGTTCTGACATGCTTGTTATTAGATACCAAACCATTGGGAAACAAAACACATGCTCCCCATCACCTCAGCTAAACACAGAGAAAACGGAAGCTAGAGAGATGGCTCAGCAGTTAAGAGCACATCGTGTTCTTGCAGAAGACCCAGGTTTGATTTTTCACCACCCACATGGCAGCTTCCTATCCTGCATAATTCTAGTCAAAACAGATCTGATGCCCTCTTCTGACCTCTGCAGGTACTAGGCACATGGGGCACAGACATACATACAAGCAAAACATTTGTATACATAAAATAAGTAAATCCAAACACTATTTCAAAACAAAGAAAATGTGCTATATTGGAATAAATCTAATGAGTGCCCTCAAAGTCATGATGCCACAGACAGTATTAGCAGGAATGGGACACTAATATTTTCCTTTGTCGTGTCAAGAGTGCCCTACAGATAGATCTTGTATTCTTGTCAAAATATGTGTAATATGCAGAAATAAAGTTAACCTAAGCCTTGGGACATTATCTGGGATGATGTGAATATTTAAAAACATTAACACCATCAAAGCAACAGCAGGGAGGTTCTGTTCTAGATGGAAGGACCCTGAAGAGATATATCAACTAAATGCAATGCTTGATTTTATTGGTTCCTTGCATTAAAAACCTAAAAGACTCTTGGGAGATA